TGTTGTGTGGAGAAGAACTGAAGGAGAAGCCAAAGACATGTGTGAATTCTGTTGGGACTGTTGCTGTTTTGGGGGAACTGTGGCTATTGCTGGAGGAGAAGCCAAAGAAATGTGTGTTTTTGTTGGGACTGTTACTGTTCGGATCGTATGCATTTGTCTTAAGTCATAGTCCCGTTTTTTTCGATGCTGAGATGGTTGAGATCCTTCACCGCGTCCACCGTCGTTGTCCACCGGTACGGTCCTTCTTTGACTTCTGTTGGTATCACACTGCAAACGGAATCATGGCCCAAACGGGCCGGCCGAACGTTCTTTCACAAACAGTTGGTTTTGCACTTCCATGGTCCATGTGTTTCTTGCAGGGAGGGTGCTGGTTAGGCTTTTCTGGCAGTGCTGGTTTTCACTGAAGGAATCGACACTGGAACTGCCCACGGCGTCCTGAACCTCTCAGCTTTGTCACGGTGCGACGTCGTGGGGCCATGTGAAGAAGGTGAGACGAGTCTCACAGCAGAGTACTTCAACCAGCCAACTTCAGCACTTTAATCATTTGCAAAGCGGCTTAGACTTCACACCTATCGCCCCATCCAAAGCCGGTCGAACGTTCACTCCGGTCGTTCTCGCCCAGTTCTCCTCCTCAGGTAGACTGGTATCTTCACGCTTCCAGTCCTGCAGCGTTCTCCGCACCAGCCGAGCGGAGGAGGGCTCCTCCCGTTTGGGCTCCCCCACCTCCTGAGGTGGTTGGGGTGGGAAGATCTGGGGGTCTAACCACCGAACCTGAGGAGATGCCCGGAGCCGTAGGGCCTATACGTGGACCCTCCAGGCCGCACCTTAGAAGATGGGAGTTCAATGACCCCATAGAAACAGCTGCGAACGGTACCCTCCAGGCCGTGAAACCGAACGGCCCATGGGCTCCACAGAATGGGATGGGAGGGATTGCTCATAGACTCATCCAACTAACCTAAACCATCCTAAACCTATACTGAGGTCCTAATTAAGGCCTGGTGATGATTGTTGCACATGTTGATTGTAGGGTTTTGGCTACGGAGCTGCCAGTGCTTAATCAGAATGTCACCCTTCCATTGGATTCCATGGCCGATCCAGAAAGCATAAGTCTTTCATCTTAGACGAACATCGCCACTCTCACTACTCCCCACTGTGCACCTTAAGGGGCAATCTGCAAGAACCATGGGTTTTTCACACCCAACACTATGGATTTCCTGCAGGTGTTCCGGCAACTCTGGGATACAAGTCCGGCGCTCGTTACAGGTCCTTGGGCAAAGTGAAGGAAGCTTCATCCATCAAGGGCCGGTCCCATCTGTGTTGGAGCTTCTTTCGCAACATCAACAGTAGCGTCCCACGGTTGGGCAGCCGCTCCAATCCTCATCCGATCGAGTTTGAGTCAGCGCGAGGGGCTCGAATCTGGAGTGGACCATAAATAGGAAGTACTGAGGACAAGGGACGGAGAGTTAGGGTTAGGCAAGGGTTCCATTCAATGGAACATAAGGATCAAGGATACGAAAACAGGAAGGTCAAGGGAAGGCCAGCAAGTTTCATCTTGAAACATCTTCAAGGGAAGGTCAAGGGAAGGCCACACTTCTTTTTTGCAGCTTCATCTTTCATCTTCCAGCCTCTTCTCTCCAAACTCTCGAAACATCTTCCACAAGTCCTCCACTCACCTACCCTCCACCAGCTTCAGCTGTGAAGCGGGAATGTTCCGTCCAAACCTCGGCCAAAGGGACCAAGAGACGAGAAACGGGATGCAGCACGTTGAATCCTACTGGGTTCTTAGGATCTGGGGATCTGAGGCCGCTCTTGGCCTGGCGGTGTAATCCCTGCTCTTGGTCGTTTTCGTCTTTCGTCTCGTGACAGGATTTAAAGAGACACAAGGGCCAAGGGTATGATTCGACCTATGTTTCAATCTATGTTTCGGACGAACTGTGAAACATGCGTCCTATCTAAAGTGCTTAGCACTGCATTGATGGAAGCGATGGGCCCCTTCACCGTTGTCATTCACCTTCACCAATCCGAGACCTTCCAGATCGACCCTCCGTGTCGGGCCGAGTGTACATCTGGGGCCCAGGATCCAGAGCCGGCCATGGAATTGGATCCACCTCTCAGCCCCTTCATGTATTCTTATACTAAATGTTATATAGCTATACAGTATAGGCTTTATGATCGTGACAGGGGGTTTATCATCTGGATCTGAAATCCAGTCTACCGTATACCATTCTAGACTATTCTAAAGATCTAAGATCGTTGGACAAAAAGTGGCTCTTACATCGAAGCAGGGGCCACTTGGGTGATGTACGGCTCCACTCCCAACCACACTCTTACACTGGAAAGCGGGGAAGCGGACGGTCACCAACCTGATCCATCCAAACCGATGCCCAAACTGGACATCCATGAGGTTTCCACGGGTCAGCCAGCTGTTGCTGACCTTGGTTAGTGACCCCAGGATCTATGGAGCGCAAATCATGGCCCACATGACTGGTGTTTTTTTGGTCGTTTTCATGTTGGTCGCCATCCCATGGCCCATGGATCGTCTGGGTGTGGAAACCAATTCCTCTCTGTGGCGCCACCCATGGTCAGTGCACTCGGCACTTGTTCTCCAAGAGCCGACCCGATACCGTGAAGGTCGGGTCATGAGAGCCTCTCATTCTCCACTGCGGCAGTGGCTTGTGGCATCAGTTACCTCCTGTCCCCTGCTCTACAAGTATCTCTCTTGCTTGTGTGCAAGACGATGCAAGACGGCCACGCTGCCGACACTATTGTCGCAAGCGCACGCATTAAGCCCAAATATCGATAAGAATTCGTCCTCCACCTTCCAAACATCACGCAACCACACCCTTCATGTCCTTGGCTGAAACGTAGTGCCTTGCTTCGAAACCAGCACCCCTTGGCTGTGCTTGGCTGCACCGACGATTCTGATCTCTTTCCACCTGGTTCTGACACCCGACAACGAATCCAAGAATGACCTGGAACGAACATGGCAGTGGAAAAACAATTGTTTAACGTAGAGGAAAATAGTCTTCCAAGGGGCCCTGTTCCACTTCCATATTAGTTCCAGGGAGTGTAGCCACTGGTTCGGCCAAAGGTACATCCTCTCGAAGTTCCAGTTCCCAGCTCTGTTGCCCGTCAGCACAACGGCTGGACACCTCCGGGTGCCACCGCACCAAGGGAAGAGAGACTCAACGACTCCCAAGCCATCGTCTTTTTTCAAGATTTGAGGATGTAAAGGAAACGCTTGAAACACAAAGGCTATATAATCACAGAACATAAAATCATCAAGGGGTACACCTTGGGAAACCATCATTGCATACGAACAGTTGTTTTTTTGGATGTTTCAGGGTATCTTGAGGATGTAGTTGATGGAAATTCCCAAAAAAGCATTGTTGAATGAAAGGGCTCGAAAAATATGCTTTTATGGGAACTCTTTGAAGGGCTGCATTCCATAAACGTAGTGAAAAGTTCTTTCCTGTGGCCTTGTGGATCTTTGCTGATGTTTGTACCAAGCGCCCGGTTTGCCGTTGCAGAAAAATGACGGACTTAGCGCCCTGAAAAGCACAAAGCCAGCTAGTGCCTGGTACTAAGGGCAAGCCTTATATATCCGTATATATCCCGAAGGATGAATGTAGGCAAATATGACCAACATGAAAACCACCGGAGACCACCAAATGTAAGCCATATTTATATATTTTGCATACATGGATCCTTCGGGTATAGTTTCATCGTTATGACCCAAACGCTACATGCATGGCACGTTCCCCGTTCACGGATCTTGGGGTACTTTCAGCGGCCAAGGAGGAATATATACAATTAATGTATTCATATGGAGTGTCAAATGATCTGATACCAAAGGTATTCTTCATGTGCCATGATTTGCCATAAAATCTGCCATGGTTTGCACCTGAGACAAAATTAAATACACAGCGGCACCGGCGAGGCTCGCGTTTGGAACCACTGGCCACAATTAAATCCAAAAAAAGACTCCTACCATTCTGGAGGTCTGCTTGAATGTGCTGTAAAGCAGCCTCCGAACAGCATCTTCCCAAGGTCTCCAAGGTAGTTTGGATTTTGTTCAGTTGGCCCACCATCTACCCCTTGGCCATTTTAGGCTCAAAACGCCAAGAGCAAATTCATCTCCATAAAACATGGTTCAGATCAGGCTGGGCGGGTGAACAGCGGCCGGCGGCAGCGGCCAGTGTTGATGGCATAAGCACAAGCAAAAGCCTGAGAACATCGACATTGTACTGAGGTCCCTCCATACTCCCTGTACACTCCCTGGAACTAACATGGAAGTGGAAGTGGATGGCCCCTTAGAAGAAGGATGTTTCCGAATGCCAAACCAGGGGGGTTTCACTCAACTTCCATGCTTCGTTCCAACAATGTGTGGTTCTGTGCTGCCCGGCCCTTTTCTCTTTTTTACCCCCCATGCTATCGCCAAGGCGCCACGACGCGATCGAAGAGAATCTCTGCCGAAACCTCTTGGCAGGACCTGAGTGGCGGATCTTGTTGGCTGGTTGAGTGGGTTGGAAACGCTGGTGAGTGTCGTGTATATATATATATATAACCCAAAGAATCCATTCTGGTTTGGGACCCTCGTGGGGACAAGTCCCTCAGGGAGAAACTGGCGAGGGTCCAAAGATAGTTTTTTATGTTTTTTTAGTTTTTTCAAGGATTCTCAAGGTATGCCAGGGTATGCTTCGTTGTTTTCATGAGGATAAAGGGCCCAGAGGGTTGAACCATATATGCTTTGAGTGTCATTCTGGCTCATGAACCGTTACCCAGAGAAGAGTCAACTGAAAAAGAGCAAGGCACCCATGTGGATACTACAGAGGTCCTCATGTTCCACTGCAATCCCTGCTCCACACCCCACCCATTCCCATCCCATCCTGCCATGTGGCAAGTGACACGCCTGCCTTTGACTCGGTCGGGACGCCAAGCTTCGACAGTCCGACGGGATCTGAACACTTCAATTCCTAATTAAACTCGAAAATCTCGAATTAGCCAGCTTCCAAATCTTTGATTTTTATATACAGCTTGCACAAGTACCGCTCCAACGTTCTAAGCGACAGGGATGAACGGTGGCAGGCTCTACTGATCCTACCGACGATTCCTATAAAGGATTCTGCACTCATGAGCTGGTGGGACACAGGATTGAGTCTGTGCAAAGCTGTGTCCATTGCCAAGTGATACAAATGATGCATTTTAGGCATCAAGATGTAGCAGTGCTTGCCTGGTTCATGCTTATTGCGAATCTCCATGCCTCTCTTATGTAGCCAGGTGTAGGAATTCAGGTGTCGCAACACCAGGTCTTTAAAGGTCAGTGCCTGCTGCTGTGTGAAGATGTGGTCAGCATGCTTCATCAATCTGATCATCGCAGAGTACGAACAAATGCAAATACACATCACCCGGTCAGCTTCGCTGGCATCAGCACGGCTCGCATGTTGAAGGGCTCTCACTTCAAGCCATTTAGTCAAGGCTTTGCTGGCCTGCGCTTTAGACTGCAGCACCGGAAAACCTTGGCTGTGCTGCGCAAAACAACCATTGGGGAAGCCAAATAACGACTATATTCCTGATCCCCGTTCTCCCCATAGACAAGTAGCTGTTCTGCATCTTCCGGGAAAGCCTCGCGGGGGTGAACCGGGGCTGCGAGCAATCCAGCTTCTCCACCTTCTTGAACAAAAGGAAATCCTTGTGAGCTGCTCTGAGAAGTGGAGCTATCTTGTTGACACAGTGGCCGTCATTTGGCATGTCGCCCCATACCCCAGATTCCACTAGGTAGATCAAAGTGGCGCCTGAGATGGTTGATGAAAGAAATCAGCAACCTTAGCCATTCTACCATGTATTCAACAGAGAAGGGTTGGCAAAAGCAAAATGTCAAAAAACTAATTCACCCAAAATACCGTTTACAGACTTCCCTGTTCCCAAGTACTGGCTGTGCATGACATCATGCAATACCCGGTCAACACCCATGGCTGGTAGCCCAAGCAGAGGCGAAAAGCGATCTGCAAGATCTACTTGTGACCAGTCTCTCATCTCATGTGCACCTGGGGTAAAGTTTGGGAGCGTCCTTTGAGGATCATCATCCGTTTTGCGACAGGTGCACCTGCTGCAAAATTCATTCTGCCTGTAGTTGTGTATGCCGTTCATTTGTTCACACAGCCATTTCAAGTCTCCTTGCACTCCACTGAAGCACACAGCATATCCACAATCGCTCCAAGGCCAATGCCGCCCTGTCTGGAGTGCAGCGATTGATGAAGTAAAGCATTTGATCACGTCCGTATACGTGTGCTCACACTCTTCATGCTCGCTCCAAACGGTCAGTGGGAACCATCGAAACAGAGCATCATTCTTTATAGCAAGCTCTGCCGACCACGCACAGATGCTTACAACTCCGCACTCGCTGTTGCGGTAACAGTTGACTTCGTCACCATAACTCGTGATGGCCCCCAAGCGTTTCCATGAAGTTAAATTCCGAGCTGGATGCTTCTGAAACCATGGGCAGAAATCATTGACATGTTTCCAGTACGATTCTATTTCAGCATCAGTCATGGTGCCAAACAGCATGTGTCTGAAAGTTGCCTCACCTCGGCGCCAGAAAGCTTGCAACAGATCTTCCGGAAGGAGCATTGGCAAATCCATCCACTCCACTTTCGACTCTTTGTGACTCCAGAACCGTACTGGATGTCTTGTAATGTTGACCTTCAACCTGCGAGCAAACTTGTGAAGAGTGCGGTGCAAATCCCTCTCGCAGTTGGCAGGGTATCTGCCATGAGCTCCGAGACGTGAGAGCTTTGACACCATTTCAGCATCTGGCCTGTCAATCGCACCACCATGTTTTGTCAACCACCGGATTGCAGATGTAGCTGTTCTTTGAACCTTGCGCTCAGTTGGGTCAGGCCTTCAAAATCCATATATGGTACTCATATACCATGCATGGCATATATGCAAGTAATGTTTAGCCTAGGAGCTCGTGAGGCGCTGCTAGACCCGGTGCCAAACTCATCGATTAAGCACACATCTAGATCAGGTGGAGGCGCGCTTCCCCTCTTTGAAGGTCGCCCAGTGCCCACATCCTTCAGGCATGTCAGCGTTTCCATGGAGGGTATTGTACCGTTGCAACACAAAACATGAACGCGGAATCAAGTTGCGCATATATATGCACATATAGAACAATAGAACGTGAGAATAAACATGCATTAGTTTTCACATATAGGCACCTTAGTGGAAGTTCCAGAGCTCGCGTCAACCACAGCTGCCGCCGGCTTGGAGCCTTGAGCGCGCACGGCTGAGGTTGGACAAGGCCTTTTGGAAGCTGGAAGCGCCGCCGCATCCTGAGAGGAACGCTGGTGGACCACAATGCGGGGAGATGGACAACCCAACACCTAACCGGACATGAGCCATGAAAATAGGTATTCGATCATAAAGAAACAAAAAATAAACAAGTACGAGTAGGCGCAACAGCACAGGCAAGGAACTGGAAACTCCTTCCGCTTGAGCTCGTCTCTCAAAAGTCCTTTTGGCAGAAACTGTTTCAGCGATAGACATGTTTCCACTTTAGCGGCTTCAAGTGCCCCGGACATCCATATCTTTCCCACTTGATCACACAGATTCTCACAGCGTGATTTCGACGCTAGTGAGACAGGATTGGCAGGGTTACAGCACTGAGCCACCGAATCTCAAAATGCAAATGTACATATATTACGAGTTATAACAACATATTTCCGTTCAAAGGCTCATCTAAGCTTGCCCTGAAAAGGTATCCACACATGTCCCCATGTGGACTTCCCGCATCAGGCCTGTGTTGTTAGTACAACACTGGATCTAACAAAAAAGCTCAGGACTCTGGACGATTGGCCTCTTCATTGGCAGGCTTGGCCTTGCGATGGGCCGGAAGGGGGGTCGTATGGGTCGTGACATAGCGAAACCAGGGAACCATGAGTTATAGTTTACGTTGATGTATTTCCTTTTCTTTGCAACTAAACAAAGGAGTGTCCCACAACAGGCCTTCTTCCGGCCACCCTTGGGCTTCGTGAGCTGCACTGCCTGACGGGCATTCTCCAAGTATCCATCCCTGATTGAGCAAGCGGTCTCCAATTGTTCACGGATGTTTTTCGGCAAGAGCTCTTCGGACTCCTGTGGGCCAGGCACGGTATAAACAAGTTGGGTACGGATGATTCCCTATAGAAAGTATGGAACACTTCAATCCAACATGCATGGGATCCTCACAGTTCTGCAAGCAGGAATTGAGGGACAGGTAGGTGTCTTGAAGTTGAGTCGCACCAAGTGACAAGGTGTCACCTCATCAAGAAAGGCAACGCATTGTCCATGGATTGATGAATCAACCGAATCCGTTCAAGCACTTTATGAACGACTCCTCAAAGCATTAAAGGGCAAGGTACGAAGTGTTTCCTGATATTTCAGTCCGGCTAGCCGAACTGGCCATAGCTTGGCCTGACCAAGATCCTTGAGCATCACCGGTAGCAGCCATTTCAATGCTGCTAATGGCTGGGTTTCGATAGGTGGCATCTCCTTCCTGGGAAATGAAGTCGGACATACAGGTTGAACGATTGTCTATGCATATTGAACTCTATATGTCTTATTTCGAAGTTAGGCCGACACCCAAGTCTGTCCGGACATCATTGCTGAAAAGTTTCGCTGGCTTCCTTTTGGGCGCTGGAGGTGGAGGAGGAGGAGGAGGGATTCCCATGGCGGCACCATCCTCCTCAAGATTCAAGCCATCCATTTTGCCCGCGGCTTGGAGAAGTTTAGCTGCAGCCTGCAAAAGCTTTATGAATGTAGAAACGTGGGCAAATGAAACATTGTTTGGTATAAAGCTGCGTGCATAGAGAACAACAGGTTCAGCCTCCCCACCATTTGTCACTTTCATCACATTCGCGACGGTCGTCGTGAGTGCTGACTCCTCCTCCGTTTTCTGCCCTAAATCAACACACACCTGAGATAGGCAGAGTGGAAAACATCGTAGTGCCGTGTATGCATACACACAATACGGCAGCGCCCCAAGTTTAAACAAGATACGAAGTAGGTTTTCACATTGGGATCATCAGGGTGGACGCTGACTTTGCCCTCAGCCTCCTTCTTTTGGATAATGCTATCCACAACACTCATGTCTCCACCATGAAGAGAAACCAATTGGCTTCGGGTCCGCCATCCTAAGACTGACCAGTTACACAAGCCACTGCGCAAACATGACACATATGGAAGCATCGCAACCAGACCAGGGCACCAAAGTTCCTATGTGAGACTTCGCGATCAGTGTGGCTCTTCGAGCTCTCAACATGGAGCCTTTAGGCATGCGTGCACAAGCAAACGTGAACGCCTGTGTGCTTTTGTTTGCGCAAGCATGTACCGATATACTGTAATTCTTGCATGAAGCTGGTGTGCAACCATGTGACATACTGAAGTCCTTCCCTGCACCAAGCCACTTCTCAAACAAAGCCGATTTGGCCGCCTCAAGATTGGGTGGATTCCCCATCTATGCGTTAGATTTGTATGCATGGTATATGCAGTAAGCATCCAAAAAGATAAATCGACAAGAAATTCGTGACACATTTGCCTTGCTGTTAGAACCCACTGCGTTCGCCCAAAGCTCAACAAACTCCGCTGGAATGGAATGCGCTTCTGGATCTCGCATTTGCCTCTCTAAACACCAGCAACACATGCATGAAACATACACTAGCTAGGCGTGCCTCTTGAACTGAGCCTGAAGAGCTTGGCGCTCATTATAGGTTTCAGGCACAATTGCCTCACGCGTGCATAAACCCAAAGCCAATACGCGCGCATATGTACATATATATCATTCCATGCCTCACACCCGGGTGCAATGGTCACACGCCGCTCAGCGTTCGCTGCCCTGTCCGGTTTGGTTGCTGGTGCTGGTGCTCGCAATGCGGATGGCCGTTTTGGCTGCTCGGTTTTGACGGCTGAGCTTGTACTTGGATTCCCTGCAGGTTGCTTCTTGCATGGCTTTGCTTTTTTCTGCAGGCGTGAAAAATGATCGGTGAGCTTGTCCCAAAGCAAGAAATGAATCAAGTCTTCTTCAGGATCTTCCTCCCCCCCATTGAAACTGAGGTTCTCCGATGTCATCCCTCAGTTTTTCAATATAGGTCTGGAAGCGAGGGTCCTGTTTGCTTTCCCCTAAGAGTGTTGTAATGTCATACCCGCTGAGAGATGATACCCGTGCCCGGATGGCAACATCATATTCTTTTGTTGCGGCTGGGTCCATCAAGAATATGTCATGCTTTGTTAGGTCGTCAGTGTCTGGTGTTCGCTCTTCATTGGGTTCTGCTTTGATGTGTGAAGTGGTGCTTGAAGTGGTGCGAGGGCTTGCATTCGAGGATGGTGCTTTGGGTGTTCCTTCAGCTGCTTTGGGGATTGGTGCTGGTGATTGCGGCGGTCCCTCTGGCGGTTCGCTGGCTGGCTTGCTGGTTGGTGGTGTTGCTGCTTTGGGTGATGGCACCTTGGCTGCTACTGCTTCATCGGAAGGTGGTGCCGGTTCCCTGGTTGATGTTGCCGCTTTGGGTGATGGCGCTTTGGCTGCTACTGCTTCATCGGAAGGTGGTGCTGGTTCCCTGGGTGATGTTGCCGCTTTGGGTGATGGTGCTTTGGCTGCTGCTACTGGTGCTGGTGCACTGGTGCTGGCTGGTGATGTTGCCGCTTTGGGTGCTGGTGCTTTGGCTGCTGCTACTGCTTTACCGGAAGCTGGTGCCAGGAGTGAGCTTGGAGGAACACTTGCCGGTGCAAGGGTTGGACTTCCTGAAATAGCTGGTGCCGCAGGGGCGCCCTTGGGAGCAGCTTTTGGTGGTGGTGGTGAAGGCAGGTTGGCATATGGGCTAGCCGTTTCGCTAGGCAAGTTGTTTGTTGCTCTTGTTGGCCGGACTTTGGGAGAAGGTGCAACTTTGGTTGACGGGCGGTCTGACTCTTTCTTCTCACCATCGTCCGTGTGTTCACGCTTCATGCTTGGTACTGCAGCACGCGTTTTTGCAGCTGTGCAAGGCGAAGGACATTTTGCCTTCTTCATTTCGGGTGTGTCTAAGTCCAGCTGACGCTTTGTTGGCCGAGTTGTACCGGTCAAGGATTCAGTGCTGGTCTGCGTGCTAAACACAGCTGGCGAAATAGACCTGATCGAATAGCTAAGTCAGACATAATTACATGCATCATAATACAAAGGATCGAGCTATACAAGATAAATCCATACGTACGCACATATAAGATCCTGGCTCATTTAGAGAGAGGTGTGAGTCATGGTGACCCGACAAACCAAGAGCTTCAGGCCAACGAACGTCTGATCCCGATGATACCAAAGTCTCCTAAGCTTGGAAGGAAACACTATATTTTGGATCCGAAGAAGCCATGGACGCATGCTCACAGTTTGCTTTGTTTTGTGATTTGTGCAGTAAACCTTTTTGCATCCATGGAGCCCGTGAGTCAATAGAAGTTGACAGCGTTGGAGATGCGCGACGTGTTGTTTTAGGTGGCGGGGTGACCGTATAGTCTTCAGGCTCAACAACAGGTGCAACCTTTGTTGAACGACCGCTCACACAGTTCTCCATGAACCTTTGGAACCTCTCCGCATTGACAGAAACAAAAGGTGGAAGCGGTGGTAATGGTGGCTGTGGTTCTTGGTGTTGACAGCTTCCTTTTCCTTTCGCCTATTGAGAGTGAGACCAAAGCACAAATGCATACAAACACAATGCAAGGTGTTTGCAGTTAAAAAGAACAGTGCCTTTCCCTTGCTTGATCTTGTGTAGGTAGCCTTTTGCTTGCCCTGTCCTTTTCTTCCCTGTCATATCCCATCCAATCTCCAATGGAGGCAAAATACAAAGACAGTGGAATGTGTTTGCAAAATTTGACATATTCTATAGAACATATGTGCCTGTCCCTTGCTTGATCTTGTGTTGGTAGCCCTTTGCTTGCCATGTCCTTTTCTTCCCTGCCATAGCCCCATCCAATCCCCAATGGAGTCAAATCCCACAGTCAAACCACAGACCACCCGACACACGTATATTTCCAGGCAAGAGTGGCCATGACACGCTAGTCAAATCGTCGATGCCGGTGATGTCCACTTTGTCAACCCAAATGGCTTCCAAGGCGACAAAAAAGCTTGCCGATGCTTTCCGACGCCTTTCCGACGTGGGACCCTCAAAACGCTGGAGTTTTGAGGTACCGACGGGTTGTTTCCGACGCCTTTCCGACGCTTTCCGACGCGCATGTGGGGAGTGTCACGTTTGTGTTCCTGATGCCTTTCTGACACCTTTCTGACACAAGATTGCTTTATATATATATAATTATATTTTTTTTGCTATAATAGACTATCTATGGGTTTGGGAGTGTGGGCAGCGAAAGTGTGTTTTTTCCTTCTCATGGCCGGATATGAATGGCTGCTGACTTCCGAATTGGACATTTGCCCATCCCCTTTACCCTGGTTGTTTGGCCAGGGGTACCAGGGGTATATAGAGAGTTGCAAGTTGCACTCCTGCTATGGTTGGACCTTTAGTACTTTAGCAACAAGAACCACAGCACATGTATAGCAAGTCCACCAAAATGGACCCCAAAAACTTCATCTATACATGGTTCATACCCAGTTGGTTGTCCCAGCAGGGAAGCCCAATTAAAAGCTGCAATAGCTAGCTAGAAAAGACCCGTCTGGCTCAGCTCAGCTTAAGCCCCCTCTTTTGGTTGATGTAGTCCACCAACCATTCTTCGCATTCTCCAAGCCTGGGTGTGAGGTAACATTGGAGGGTGTTGTTGTGTTTGCAAGAAAGGTCAGTTGAGCTTGTTCAACCAAGGGGTGTATTTCTTTTTGTGGAAGGATCAACTTTTGTATTATAACAATCTTGACCTGTTTCATCCACTCACTACAGGAATGGTGGGTATGGAAGAACATGCAAACCTGCTGTTTTAGGTTGTGGCATGGTGCCACCAAAGAGTTGCGGGTAGACATGCTTTTGAAAGCGCCAAGCTGCTTTGCATCTGCCCAATCATCAGGCGTGTAGTCCACACTGGTTGGCCACTGCGGGACCTTGGCGTGCTTCGTGAAAGCAGAGCATACCTGAGGCCGAGCCAAGATCGGTGACGCTGTCTTGGGTCCGGTCCGGGGTCCCAAACACAAAGCACATAACATGCATATAGTTGAATCTTTGTTTGAGATACAGCCCGCCCAAACTTGGGAGGATAGACTTGTGTTTGCCGCAACTTCTTAGATCCTTTGAATTTCCGGCCACCCTCGGTGTTGTACTGCACTGTGGAGTCGCTTTTGTCAAACAAGGATCTGTCAAGTTTCCTGACAGTACCATACACATGCATCAGAAATCACGGCCATGCGAATCATGTGTGATTCGACTGAACCATGCACGCGCACTTAAAGCTAGAGGTGGAATCTGTCCTCCACAAATGTGAGATTGCCTCATCGTCGCTTACCAAACGGACTGGTTTCCAAGTAGGTGCACCAAACATTCCCAAGTGGGTGACCACTTGCTTGAAGTTCCGAATAGCCAATATTCTCCGAAGTCGCGGGTGCATGAACAACTCAGCTGAACACTTCAATGAATGTTTCTATTGCGGTATGATTCCCATGATGGGTGGATATTCGATGCACACTCCATTATGCAAGGAAATTAAGGCAGGAGCAAGTGACTGGGATGGGTTCTCCAATATTACATGTGCTCGCCGATGAAGACACACCAAAACAATAAGAGCCATCTGAGTCGCGTAAAAGGCATCGATATATGCATATTATAGCTATATATATAGCTATTATAGCTATAGCTAGCTAGCTATAAATGTATATACGCAAACAACCGGCATTGCTGGTTTGTGTTGATACCGACTTGGGCCACACACGCGGCTTGCCATCAGATTGGCATCGCGGACGGATTTGTACAACCTAGGTTGCAGAGAGCGTGAAAGTTGGCGACCCGCGGCTGAAGTTGGTGAAGGACTGCCAGGGCCAGTGATTGTTGGCGGTCACTTGCGACAACTTCCCAAGAGGGTCCGAGTACCACACCCAGATCGCACGACGTGGTTTTGCCGAGAAACCTGTTGCCCAAAGGGCGCTTCTCTGTTCTTCCGCTTGTCCCCCCTGTAGGCAGTGGGAACGGGAATCTCTT